GAGGCTGCCTGGCCACTGACACCCTCTGATGCTTCTGGGCTTCTCCTTTCCCTTTGAACTTCTCCCATTATGAGAGGCCCGGCTCAGGAACCGTGCTGCCTCCACCAAATCAGCTCAGTGTCTCTAATTCCCATTTATTTGGCATTTTCCTGCTTGCTAATTAACTTTTTCTGTTAGTCCAACTCCATCATGAGGTGTCGAGGGAATCCAGTGTAGCTCTGAACCTCCATTCCTTTCAGTTTTGTAATCTCTTATATCCTTAAGTAGCAGTTGATCTCTGCGCCTTTGGAGATCAGATGCCTTTTGAAATTTCTGTTTCACACAAGATCTGAACTTTCTGGGGCAGATGAGATCAGGGCATGTGCTGCTTGCCTTTGCCCCCACTCACATGGGCTGGCTGTGCCTCCTCAGATCTGTGTGTGCCCTGCTTGGAGGGCTCAGATATCTCCTTCCCCAGGTGGATAAACACAGAATTCTTCCATAATAAATGCTGGGCTCAGATCTGTGTGCCCTGCCCTGCTTGAAGGGCTCAGATATCTCCTTCCTCAGGTGGATACACACAGAATTCTTCCACAATAAATGCTGTGCTGTGCCTCCTCAGATCTGTGTGCTTGGAGGGCTCAGATATCTCCTTCCCCAGGTGAATTAACACAGAATTCTGCCACAATAAATGCTGGGCTGGGCTGTGCTCTCACCACAACCTCTTTTGTTGTGAGGGCTCGTCAGAGCAAGCTGAGCTTTCTCAGCGAGTTCAAAGCCCCTGAGCTGTGCCCAGAGCAGAGGATTTGCTGTGAACCCAGAGCCCCTGTGCTCGACCCTTCCCCAGGTGCACTGTGTGAACCCTGGGTGCTGTCTCTGTGTTTGTGCCTGGGGATGCCCAGCACAAGCAGAGCAGGACAGAGCTGGGCCAGCACAGCATCATCCCCACAGCCTTGCACACCCTGCAAATCCTTCTGATTATATTTCCTCTCCTTTCTGTGCTCTGTCCCAGTCCTGCACAGCTCCCTGCTCTCCCCTGGTGCCTCTCCTGGGTTCATCTCCTTGCAGGGAGCCTCCCCGTTGTTCTGAGAAGAGCAGGGTGCGTGCAGGTGGGAGCTGGGGGTCCCAGGGGCTGCTCCCCCTGCAGCCAGCCCCAGCCTCGAGCACCTGGGGGTACCAATCCTCTCCTGACTCACTGTGGCCAGCAGCCTGGCCATGTCCTGCCTTGCTGAGGACACTCAGGGTGACATCTCTCTGCAGAGGAACACCCCTTGGAAAGGTTCATTTTAAGCTTTTAATTACCAAATCTTTATGTGATGGTTTTGTTCTCTTTGGGCCCGCTGTGTTCAGAGGAACTGGTGTCACCCATTTGGTGTCACCCATTTGGTGTCACCCATTCTGGGCTCAGTCACTGCTGGCAATGCCTTGCCCACACCACAGCAACAGCCAGAGTTTATCCACTTTGGGCATTGGTGCCATGTGTGTGAGGTGTCTTTGGAGCTGGATTAAATTCCAGGAGCTTCCCAAGTTGTGTTGGGCATTAAGAGTTCTCAGGAGACATCTGATTTTTTTCTGTGTTTCCTGGGCACACAGGACTCAGCTGGCAGCCCCTGGAGTGTGGGAATGTCTGAGGAATGTGGGAATGTCACTGGAGTGTCCATCCCTGGGCACACAGGACTCAGCTGGCAGCCCCTGGAGTGTGGGAATGTCCCAGGAATGTGGGAATGCCCCAGGAGTGTCAATCCCTGGGCATGCAGGACCCAGGTTGGCAGCACCTGGAATGTGGGAATGTCCCAGGAATGTGGGAATGCCCCAGGAGTGTCAATCCCTGGGCATGCAGGACCCAGTTAGAAGGGTCTGGAATGTGGGAATGCCCCAGGAGAGGCCAGCCCCAGGTGTGCTCAACATCTGGAGCTGCCCAGGGCACGGAGCAGGTGCGGGGACAGCAGCCAGGCCATGAATAATGCACAGCTGCTCTCGGTGACAGTGGCTGTGACCCAAGAGCTGTCCCTCAGAGAGAGCTGTCCCTTCCAGGTGAGCTGGCTCCAGGCTGGATAAATCTCCTGCAATAACTGCCTCTTTCTCTCCCAGTTACTAACAGAGCATAGGGGAGTCTTTAACCTGGCTGTTTTTGTAGTGAAATCCTGGCTGTGCTGAGTGATTGGAGTTCTGCCACCAGCTCCATCCCTGCTCTGCTTTTAGCAGCTGCAGCTCAGCCAGGCACTGCTCCCTTCACTGCTCTGCCAGACCCGTTTGGTCACTCTTATTCCACTCCTCCCCAAACTCACAGGGACCTGGAGCAGGAAATTCTGTTTTCTGGCAGAATTCAGGTCTGCAGAGAGGGGATTTTCAGAAGGTGAATCAGTGAAGTTTTGAGGTGCAGCCCCTGCCCTGCTGGGAACAGGCAGCTCTTCCCATCCAGCACCCCCAGACCCCTCAGCCCAACCTCATTTCTCTCATTTCCCTCCCAGCCTGCTGGAGCTGCCACCAGAGCTGCCCTGGTGACAGCAGAGGGGACACCCTGAACACTCCCCAGTTAACACTCACACTGTTAATTGGTGCTGGCAATCTGTGGGTATGGGGAAAGTGGGACAATACAGCCCAAAAGGCTGTGGGGAGGACAGCAGGACATTGAGGGAGCAGACTGAGGCTCTGGGCTGGGTTAGAGGGGCAGGGTGAGCTGCACTGAGCTGGTTCCTCCCAGCTTCACCTTCTCCCTGAGTACAAAGCCACATTTTGGGATCAAAGTCTGTCACTTCCCCTTCCAGCACCAGCCCCAGCTGATGGCCAGCCTTGCTGCCCCACTGCTTCCATCCACCCCTCGATTCCTTTGGATTTACACCAAATCCTTCTGATTTTTCTTTCTGAAAATTGATGAACCTAGGTGTTCATCCCGCTGGGGTTTTTCCCAAATTTGTGCAGAGTGCCGCCAGAGCCGTCCAGGGAGCAGGACCTGACCAGGGCTGTCCCTCTGTAATGGTGTTCACAGGGATCTGAGATGAGGGAAGAGACGAGGATCTGACTCCATGTTTCAGAAGGCTGATTTATTATTTTATTATGTATATTATATTAAAACTATACTAAAAGAATAGAAGGAAGGATTTCATCAGAAGGCTGGCTAAGAATAGAAACAGAAAGAATGATAACAAAGGCTTGTGACTGACTGAAACAGTCTGGAGAGCTGGACTGTGATTGGCCATTAATTAGAAACAACCACATGAGACCAATCACAGATGCACCTGTTGCATTCCACAGCAGCAGTTAATCGTTGTTTACATGTTGTTCCTGCGGCCTCTCAGCTTCTCAGGAGGAAAAATCCTAAGGAAAGGATTTTCCATAAAAGATGTCTGTGACATCCATCCATAGATTTCCCTCCCCAGGGCAGTGCAGCAGCCCCCAGCTGCCCCTGGCTGCTCTGGGTGAGGGTGGCACAGAGCCCCAGTGCTGGCATGGCCATGACGTGAGGGAAAGGTGTCACAAACCCTTATCAGTGCCACGCTCCAGCCAGGGAGCTTTGTGCTCCTCAGATAAGAGATGTGGCGTCACAGGAAGGTTCCTGGAGTGTCTCATATCCTTGTGCAGGTGATTAGGGGGCTGCTGACATCAGTGGCACTAATTGTGCCCAAATGGCTGCACACGTGGCACACAAATATTGCAGTGAGTCTGTTCTCCTGGAGCTGTGCATGGGCACTGAGCCAGCTGGAGCCAGGGCACTGTCACCAACAAATCTGCCTCTTTGAGGTGGGACTGACCTTCCACCTCCCCAGGGCTTTATGGAAATAAACACAGCACGGTGATGGAATTGGTACAGAATGAACCAGCTCCATCCCAGCTGGGCTTGCTGCTTTGTTCTGTCCCATTTCCACTGCCCCAGCTCCTCCAGCTTGCCCTGTGTGCCCACTCTGTGTGCCCAGCTCCCCTTTGTGTCTCCCAGCTCCTCCTGTGTTCCCCAGCCCACCCTGCCTTCTCTGAGTCCCTCCCTTGGAACCCCTGGAATGAAGTTCTGCAATTCTCCTATTTCTTAGTATCAAAAACAATAACCAACTGTCATCATCACTCCACAACCACCCCCAAACAAACTGGGTGACGTTGCTTTTCACAGAGGGGAAAAAATCCTTGGAGTATCCAAGGGGAAGCCATTGGCTGCAGCTGAACTGGGTGACATTGCATTTCACAGATAGAATACATAATAAATAATATATATATAATATATAATAAAATAGATATCACGTATTATATTATATATACATGTATATATAAAAAATAAAATATATCATATATCATATATCATATAATAATATAATAAAACCTTGGAGTATGCAAGGGGAAGCCATTGGATACTGGCTTTGCAGTGAACTGGGTGCCATTGCTTTTCCCTGGGAATGGCAGGGAGAACTCAGCCACGCAAGCAATCCCTGCTGAGCACAGAGCCCAAGGTAGGCTCAGAGCTGTGCTGACATCAAGCCCTGCAAGTTGGTTATTCCATTTTTCTGCCTCGTGGTTCTCCTTTAAAAACCACGGCCAGCACTGCTGGGTTTGGGCTTTGTTTGAGCAGGGATTCCAGGGTGTGGGGATCCTGATCTCGGTCAGTTTTGAGGGAGTTTGGCTTGGGCAGGGGGGTTTTGGTGTCACTTTGAGGAGGTGCCAGGGCTGGGGCCAGCAGGGCTCCTGATGGAGGCTCTGTGTGCCAGGAGCAGTTTGTGATGATGGAGAGGCACCATAACCCAGGGCTGGAGTGAATTAGAGAGAGCAGATGAGATACCAAACAATGGCCAGGCAAGCCTGGAAATCCTTGCAGCAGATACAGAGAAAGAAACAGAGCTTTTAGGCCATATTTTTATGTTTTATTATTACTGCTATTGTTGCATTTTTCCCTCTGTTTATGGTATGAACCCAGCTGCTTTGGGTTCACAAGTACAAACACTGAATTCTATTCTAGTCTATTCTGAAATACTGAATTCTGGCTGGGTTAAAATACATTTTTTTTCATTTTTTCCCTTTTTTTTTCCCTGTCTCCCCAGGGCTCTGGCCGACATCCTAAGGCAGCAGGGACCAATCCCAATCGGACACTGTGAAAGAGAGACAATCTCGGCCATAGATACCTCCCCCAAAGAGAACACCCCAGTCAGGACCTCCTCCAAAAACCAGTACACACCAGTACGCACCTGCAAGAGCAACCCAGGTAAGTGCTGCTGCCTCTGTCACATTTCCTGAAAAATCCTCTTTGCCCAGGAGTTTCCTCCTGGGAAGCTGAGAAACCTCAGAGAGAAACAAAAACAATAATTATCTGTTTGCTTCTCCTGTGATTTGCTGCATTGAAATGTGGTTTGGAGATTGTTTATCCAGCACGTGAATTGCTTTTACTTAATGACCAATCACGGTCCAGCTGTGTCGAGGCTCAGGAGAGTCACAGGTTTTTCATTATTACCTTGTTAAGCCTTCTGTAAGATCCTTTCTCTGTTCTTTCGTATAGATATAATACAATACAATACAATATAACATAATATAATATATCTTCCAAGAACACGGAGTCAAATTCTCAATTCCTCCTTGGTCCTGGGGACCCAACAAATACCACACTTGGGGCCATGCCAGGAGCCAGGAAAACAATATTTTCTCCTTTGCTTCTCCTATGTTTGCTGCTTTGGAATGTGGTTTGGAGGTTGTTTATCCAACTGATCATTGTTTGAATGGTTTTATGTGAATTGTTTTTACTTAATGACCAATCACAGCCAGCTGTGTTGAGGCTCTGGAGGGTCGCAAGTTTTCATTAGTATCTTGTTAAACTTTCTGTAAGATCCGTTCTCTATTCTTTAGTATAGTTTTAGTATAGCATAATATAATATAATATAATATAATATAATATAATATAATGCCATAAAATAATAAATTAGCCTTCCCTCTCCTCTCCTCTCCCCACCAGTGAAATTCACAGGGTTTTTGGAGAATTTGGTGTGATTTCTCCTATGTAAGTTAAATTTATGAGAGGAGGAAACTATTATGGGATATAAACTATGGAGGGAATGGATTTGTCTACTCAAAGCTCTCTGGTTTCACTATAAATTGTCTAAATGGACAGGAAGGAGCTGTTACACAGCACCTATGGAATGATTTTTCCCTCTTCTGCTTTGGGACTTGTGTTAGTCACAAAACATATCTGTTGTCGTTTTCAGCTTCTTTTCATAGAAAAAAAAAAGGAATTATTTTTGCCTGATTTCCCCAGTGGCTCAGCTGGGAGGGGAAGGGTCCTTGGCTGCTTTGTGCCTGTTTGAAGGGGTTTGGTGCAACGTCCTCCCCCTGTGGGGACAGGTGGCAGCATCCCCTGAAGGTGACACTGTCCCTGCTCTCCCCTTTCCCTGAGAGCTGAGCAGATTCCTTTGCTTTCCCGTGCTCACCCCCAAAGCAGGGAGCCCTGTGATTTTGTGTGTCAATTTGGATCTGTGAGATAAAACCCTGGGCTGGAGAACAGCCTTGAGGTGAATTGTGTGGAAGAGGGAATTGCTGCTGCTTATCTGAGGCTTGGAGCTGCCTCTGGAGAGGATTTGGGCTCCTGAAACACGAGGAGTGAGGGATTGTGGCCAGTGAGCAGGGACAGGCACCATCAGCTGGGACATCACCCTCAGGGTGACAGGGGTACAGAGAATGAGGGCTGAGGGAGCTGGGAAGGGGCTCAGCCTGCAGAAAAGGGGGATCAGGGGGAAATTCTGGCTCTGCACAGCTCCTGCCAGGAGGGGACAGCCCCAGGTTGGGCTCTGCGCCAGGGAACAGGGACAGGAGCAGAGGGAACGGCCTCAGGGCAGCTCAGGGTCGGCACAGCTGGAATTTCCCCTTGGAAAGGGAGTTCAGGGATTGGAAATGCCCAGGGAGGGTTGGAGTGCCCATCCCTGGAGGTGCCCAGGGAATTCCTGGAGGTGGCACTGAGAGCTCTGGGCTGGGGACAAGGTGGGGATCAGGCTGGACTCAGTCCTCCTGGATGCCTTTTCCAGCCTCAATAATGCACATTAGCACATCCTGGAATAATGCTGGGGTTCTGTGCCATTGACACCTTCTGGAATAACGCTGGGATTTTATGCCATTATAGCACATCCTGGGATAATGCTGGGATTCTGTGTCACTGACACCTTCTGGAATAGTGCTGGGATTGTGTCATTAGCCCCTTCTGGAATAATGCTGGGGTTCTGTGCCATTGACAACTTCTGGAATAGCGCTGGGATTTTATGCCATTAGCACCTTGTGCAGACTCTGTGTCTCTTGCCTGGCTCCTGCTGCTCACTCAGGGCACACAGAACCAGAAGGAAGGGGCAGCAGGAATTCTTGCCTGGCAGCTGGAGGCACCAGCTATACTTGCTTTTTGGGGACAAGGGGAAGAAAATGAAAAAGAAAATTAAAAAGATAAAAAAAAAGGAAATAGGGAGAGCTGGAGGAAAAAGAGGAAAACAAGTATGGGAAACAAGGATCTGTTCTATCTTAAATAGAACAAAGCTGGTCAGCCCTGGTGTGGAGTAGAAAATCAGCAATGCTTGTTCTTGGGGGACAAAGGGAAGAAAATGAAAAAATAAAATGAAAAAAAAAATTTAAAAAGGAGGGAAATAGGAAGAGCTGGAGGAAAAAGAAGAAGACAAGTATGGGAAACAAGGATGTGTCTCAGCTTAAATAGAACAAAGGTGGTCAACCCTGGTGTGGAGAAGAAAATCAGCAATGCTTTGTTTTTGGGGACAAGGGGAAGAAAATAAAATTAAAAAGAGAAAATAAAAGAAGGAAATAGGGAGAGCTGGAGGAAAAAGAGGCAGCAATATGGAATAGCAGGATCCAGGCAAGGCACTGCTCACTGGGGCTGCAAATTGGCTGAAGGAGCCCACAGCTGTAGGGGTTGGAAAGCAGCAGGTCTGGTGGCTGTGGCTCAGTGAGGAGCAGGAGAGGGGAGGCAGCCAGACAGGATTGTCCTCGTTGCACAGGGGCTGATTGAGTTTGGTGCTTGTTTGACTTGGAAGTTTTGTTCCCAAACTTATAATTGGAAGGGTGCCCCTAAGTCCTGCTAAATAAACCTTGGCTTCATTTTCTGTGAGGCTGGCTTGGTGTCAGCGGGCAGGATGGCTGTGGGTGACAGTGACAAATGGAGGTGGCTGTCCCTGCGGTGCAGAACAGCCTGGGCAGGTCCTGCTGGGGACACAGGAGAGGAGAGTGCGCTTCTCACTGCTGCTCCAAAGGAATTCCAGGCTGGTTTGGGCTGAGAGGGATCTGACAAAGCTCCTGTCCCACCCCTGCCATGGCAGGGACACCTTCTCCTGTCCCAGGGACACCTTCCACTGTCCCAGGTGCTCCCAGCCCTGTCCAGCCTGGCCCTGGGCACTGCCAGGGATGCAGGGGCAGCCCCAGCTGCTCTGGGCACCCTGTGCCAGGCTGTCCCTGTGGGCACAGAGTTTGGGGTGATTGGGGTTCAGGCTGTCTGTGGCACAGTTTGGGGTCATGGACATATTTTATGAAAATGCCTTCACCAGGATTTTTCTCCCGAGAAGCCTCAGAAAAGAAATGTAAGCAATAATTATCTGATGGCTGGGGAATGTGGTCTGGTGCATCTTTGATTGGTTCCAGGTGACTTGTTTTTAATTAATGATCAATCCCAGTCCAGCTGTGTCAGGACTCTGATCAGTCACAGGGGTTTTATTATTCATTCTTTTCCAGCCTTCTGATGTATCCTTTCTTCTATCCTTTAGTGTAGTTTTAGAACATAATCAAGATTATAATATAATATAATATAATATAATATAATAATATAAATCAGCCTTCTGAGAACATGGAGTCAAGATTCTCATCTCTTCCCTCATCCTGAGGGCCCTCAAACACCACCTCAAGACTCTGGCCTAGATTTAGATTCTGTATATTCTGTTGGACTCTTCAGGTTTAGAATATCCCATTGCCTCTCCAAGGGGATGTTCTGGTCTGGATCCAGCCCCAGAGGTGCCAGGGGAGGGCTGAGCACAGGACACCTTCCCCAGGGTTAAAATCCGCTCCTCACCTGTGCTGGGACCTGCAGGTGTGGAGAAGAGCTGGTGGCCAGGATCCCCACTTGGAATGCAGCAAACCGCCCAGGCCAGGGCTCTGATTAGCCTGATCTATCTGGGGAATGAGCAGCTTGAGTCAGGATGTTCCAGAGATGGATGCATTCAGAGTGCTGCTTTCAGCAGTGCCTCGCACCCAGAGGCACACTCTGAGCTCCTTCTGAATGCGAACAAACGCAGGGCAGGCCTTAAATCTTCATGGGAATTGTGGCAAACATCTCCAGCCGAGCCCAGGGCAGCGTGGGGAGCACTTCCAGCCTGAGCAGCACGTGGGGAAGGGGGTCTGTGCCCCTGGCCCTGCTCCCCACGGGCTCAGCAGGGCTCTGCCCTTTCCCAAAGCACAGGGGATCCAGGTTCATTCCAGATTATCAATGCTTTTCCTAAAGCACAGGGGATACAGGTTCATTCTGGGTTATCAGTGCCTTTCCTAAAGCCCAGGGGATCCAGGTTATCAGAACCTTCCCCCAAGACCCATGGGATCCAAGTTATTGGTGCCTTCCCCTAAAGCCCAGGGGATCCGGGTTCCCGCTGATTTATCAGAACCTTCCCTCAAAACCCAGGGGATCCAGGTTATCAGAATCTTCTCCCAAACCCAGGTGATCCAGGTTCATTCTGGGTTCTCACTGCCTTCCCCTAAAGCCCAGGGGATCCAGGTGCCCTCTGGTTTAGCAAAGCCAACCCCCCAAAGCTCAGATCATCCAGGTTCATTCTGGGTTATCAGTGCCTTTCCTAAAACCCCAGGGGATCCAGGTAATCAGAACCTTCTCCCAAAGCCCAGGAAATCCAGACTCTCTCTGGTTTATCAGAACCTTCCCCCAAAGCCCTGGGCATTCAGGTTCATTCTAGGTTATCAATGCCTTCCCTTAGAGGCCAGGGAATCCAGGTTTCCTCTGGTTTATCAGTGCCTTTCCTAAAACCCCAGGTGATCCAGGTTCATTCTGGTTTATCAGTGCCTTCCCCCAAAGCCCAGAGGATCCAGGTTCATTCTGGGTTATCAATCCTTTTCTAAAACCCCAGGGGATTCCAGGTTATCAGAACCTTCCCTCTAAGCCCAGGTGAGCCAGGTTCCCCCCAGGTTTTCAATGCCTTCCCCCAAAGCCCAGGGAATTCCAGATTCCCTCCA